CCCACAAGCCAACATTCACCCAGCCTTTAAACTCAGGTTAAACACCATGTTGACACAATTATAGGTAGAAGTCTTGGATTGAAACCAACCAAAACCACATAGACAAAAGCAAATTGGTTGTAAAAGGACATGAAAAAGTTTCTGTTAGAAGACAGGAAAAAAATATGTTAGGAGCCTGCAGGACAAATTCTTCAGGGCCCTCTTTCCACAGCCAGTTGGCATTATCTTTGTGTCTGTAAGAGGATTAAACATAACACCCATTTAAAAACACAACAGCTATTTAAAAGGGTTGCTGTTATGAGAAGATGACAAGGCCCTAATTCTCCCCTTGGTTTGGCAAAACATCCAATGGTATCAGCAACATTGCCAATCAGATTTTCCCAGATCAAAATTGCCAATACCCAAGCTCCTTAATAAATCTGAGCTCAATTGCTGGAGCTCAGCTTAATGCAGGTGGTCACAAATACTCTTGCAGTTCTTGTAAGTAAGGGCTGCTTCGTTAACCAGCCCTTAGTAAGCTTCCCAAGGCAAACTCCCAAAAGAGGCAAGGAGATGCAACAGATCTGTGGCTCCTCCGTGGTACAGATCTGCACACCGGCATGCTGAGTGCATCCCCTCCTCTGCTCCAGAGACAAGCGTACTGATGTGCCCCATTCCCTTTGGCTTCACCTATCAGTAATTGTTTAGCCAAGAAAATAGGGAACAACTTTATTACATGTCAAGATTCACCTGGTAAAAACCAGTCTGTAGAGCTGCCCCTGTGAGCAATACCCATCTGAGCCTCCTTCCCTTCGCACCGCCCCAGAGGGCAGACAGCACCACTGCACCTCTGCGGGCAGCGAGGCACCAGCAGCTGTCCTTACCACCTCTTCCGTGCAATACACGAGATGTACGGTGGGAAAGGTCACTGCAGAAACAGCGACGTGGGTTTAACTTTGCAGCTGTGTAAAATCTGGCCTTCAACTCCATTAGTGGTGTTGCACCAATATTTTTTTTTGCATAAGATTTCTGAGCAGCATTCACTGCAGCAGTAGTGCTTTTTCTGTTACTCCCTGTCTCTAAAACTGGAATAATCTCTTCAGTGCCTGGCTTTAATTCTATCTTTGCTGCTCCAGGGGCAGATCAAAGCTGAGCCAGGCATGTCACCACAATATCCAATAATGAAAAACATTAGCTATTAATCATTTAGCAACACCTAGCAGCAACTGCTTGTTGCTAAGCTTAAGAATGATTTTCCTGGAAAAAAGAAAAACAGTAACTGGAGGGTAGAGGAAGGGATACCTGAACTTCCACACTGTAACAAATCCAACAAACCTTCTCCTCTTGATCACAAGACATAAATAAGATCCTGTACATGTAGCTCTCTGTAGGGAACAGAGCACGAGTACAAAGAGATGCTCGTGTCACCCCTTTCTCTTGCTCTCAGCAGAACGCAGGTTTTTCACACGAGCACTCTTAAGGCAGGCAGTGAGAGGCACAGCAAAGCCACTTCGTTGTAAAGGGGTCAGCTGTTTGCACTGATCAATGCTGCAGTCAGGCCCACGCGGAGGACAGGAAAACTCACAGTCCCTCAGCCTAACCACAAGGCTTCTTTTTATGAGACTTCATGACTTTCGGTAACCAGTACCTTTTTTTCTGCCATTCTGATACACCGCTAGTGACGTAGAAAGCACATCCCACAAAGAGGAAAAGGTCTAGCTTTTTGGCATTGCTCTGGCTTTTGGATGTAACAGAAAACCAAACTCAGGCCTCCCACTTAGAAAATTTAGGAAAAACAAAGGCATAGGAAATAGATTATTTCAGTCCGCAATGCAGGAGCGATAGCATTTCCTTTAACACTGCTTGGCGTGAGGATCACTGCATTGAAACTTGACAGATGCTCCCACTTACACTCAAGGGGGGCTAATCCGACATGATGTTATCACGCATCAAATTATCATACTAATACAAGATAGGTCAAGCACGCACCACCCAAAACTTCAAGCAAACTCTGCCACACTAGAATTGTGACACATCTGCACACCTCTTCAAAGGGGAATCAACAAGGAGCAGCCTTCCTCACAAACAATACTTGAAGACATTTGTGGAAAAGATTCACATGGAATAAACAATGAAAGCTCTAATATCAGGTGCAAGTCTCAAGAGCACCTAACAGATGTAAAGCCCTTGCTTCTCCTTTTGGGCTGCTACAGGAAAGAATCAGCCCTTTTAAACTCTTCAGTATGTGACTGTCTCTTCGCTTGGACACTACCCATGTACTACTGCTGCACAGGGTCTCAGTACCGAATGCCCCACCACTTTTTCGCACAGACTGGCTGGTAAAACTCCCGAGGAATCACACGTTCAGAGTTCAACTGTGTCAGCGCATGAAAGGTACAGGCAAAGTCTAGCATCATCTCATATGGAGCCTGTTTAGGTTAAGGTAACATTTGACACCACTATTCCAGCAGGCTCATTAGCGCTTGACCAGATGGCACCAACTGACTTTCCAGATTGCAGGCATTCACTTGATGTGCTTGTCAAGGGACAGAGGGAGTTGTCTGACTGTATCACTGACACTAACACACAAGGGAGTCCATGAATAAAGGTAAACTAGGACTAAAGTCATTTGCAAAGCACACAGCCTGGTATTTTTACGCCACAAAAAATCCACTTTTACTTGAAGCTTAGTTGATGTAAGAACCATAAATGGCTTTGACAGTGTTATCCTTTCACTCAAAGAATTTGCTTATGGGGCCATCACGGGCCTTTGCATTTCATACAGTTCAAAGGGCTTGCAACAAGAGCCAAGAAAAATCTATAGCCAGCTGGCAATGCCTGGGAACATTTGCAATCTTTACATTCAGTTTACTAGATTCCTCCTCCCCCTCTTACCCTCTCCCCCAGTGCTTCAAAACTAGAAATGCTATTGACATTTTTATTACCATGAAGAGATCAAACCTGAGTCACATTTTACCATGAAACACAAAATGCTGCATACTGAAGCCTGCTGCCTGAGCATCACCTCTTCTTGCAGATGTTACACAGCCCCAGCAGACTCACCAACCTTGCACGGAAGGTAGTTAACATCTGGTAAGTCTCCAAATACTCCCCAGACTGCTTCTTCCAACCCACACCAGCAAACAGCTATTTGCACAGGCTACCATCTGTGATCATTGCAGGAGGAAGCTTAGTAACATGTCTGGCTTGAGACTAGAATTATTTGTGGGGCGGGCGGGGGGGGAGACTGGGGAGGGGGTGTTTCAAACCTAAGTAATACCCATCTCAACAATGAAAACTTGAATTCTAAAGTTCTGGCACTCTTCCTGCTGTAAGATCTTTTGCGATTACTCCTACTCTTGTGATTACAGGATTCGGGGTTATTATATACATACAACTCCCCTCATCTAATTCTAAGGAAAGTTGCTGGAATTCACTTCTGCTGAATCATCCAAGATGAACAATAAATAGTTGAGGAACAAATAAGGAAATTACACTTCAGAGACAGAAGTCTGAAAAGGAGAGGAAAAGGCATTAAGGTAAGCCAACTCCTTCAAAGATAAAGCCCGCTATTTTGTGCAAACATCCAAGCCTTGCAAGTAGCAGGAAATTAACCACCAATTGCAACAGGGCATGTGTATTTTCCTTATTCTCTTTGCATTGTCTGCACCAAAAGTAACAGCATATGGCTATCTGTCCTGCCCTACTCAACAGAAGTTATGGCATGACTTAAAACCCTTCACTTTTCAATGCAAAAGCAATGCAGAACTTGTTTTAACCTTTTAGTTCTTCACAGCTGAAGATGACAGGTATCAAATGGGAAGCAACCAAAACCACAGTAAATGGGAAAAGTAAGTAAAGGTACAAAGACCCTCAATAAGTGGCACTTGTCCTCCATCTACTCTCAGATAGGAAGATGCAAGTTATTAAGAGCTCCTGGTATACAGGCTGTTACCTACTTAGCTCTCCACCTAATAGGCTGTCTCCATAATTAGGTGCCTTTTACTGTATTAAGCACTTACTCTTAAGTAACAGAATAGCCTGTTCAGTACAGTGAAGTACTAAATTCATATAAATTGCTCAGAAAATTTACATGCCCAACTCCATGCTCCCCCCGAGCTGGGAAAAAAACGTTACTTGCTGAAAATGTTTCTAAACATAGACACATAAGTCAAAAAGGCAGCGTTTTCAGGACACCATCGTGCAGCCTTTGGCTGCTGTGATACAGCTAGTCCTTCCCCACCTCTCCCCATATTACCAAGCATGTAGTAAATGTTAAAATAACACCCGAAAAACCCCCAAACATTCCAGCAGTCATTGCTTCCCCCTGGCATATCTATCCCTGCTTTCAGTTGTTAGCCAAGAGAAAGGTTACCTCAACACTGATATACAGACAGACATACTGTGATATGGAGATACAAAAATCCATGATTTCTGAAAGCAAGATCAATACTTAAAAACTGTAGTTTTTATCCAGCAAGGTAGTCAAGCACTCATTGCAATAAAGGTGAAAAGCTGCAGGACCTGCCTTTAAGTAAGAACTGGTACGTAATTTTGCCACTTAAAGAGCAAGAAAGCTACCTCAAATTCAAACTATACGTCCCCCAACACATTTCCCAAAAACTCAAAACCCCTTTTCAGATGTCATTGCTCCATCACCTGCTATGTAGATTTCTTCCAGTGTCAGGAACACGCAGGTCTCCAAACAGTATTCTTGTGTGCAAAACTTGGGGAGTTCCACTCTAGAGTAATTCTCTACATTCTCCCCAAAAGGTGAGTCTCAACATACTTCAGTTTTTCAATGCCAATTCTTTTTGCAGACTCTGGACTCTTTTGTCCAGAGTTGTGTTGTGACAGTGCCAAGAACAACCTAAGAGGGCTACCATTAAAACATGGCTGACTTAATACTTTGATACATAAATGTCACTCATCCAGACAGCAGAGGAGTCCCATGAACCAGTTAATCCCCATCTATGTTTACGGAATTAAAAATGTAAATGAAATTACTCTTGTTATATGAACAGTTGTTTATTCAGCCATTTTTTGCACTTTACAGCTGGAATTCTGGAAATTCAAACACCACATCTTTGCCTGTGAGCTTCTTGTAGACACCAGAAAATGTTTCCACCTGTGAAGACAAACAATCTTGATTTATACATACTGTGTAAGGAAATAAATTCTATGTTAACATACTTTAGGTACTACTCTATTTCCCACTGCCTCTTCGCTCTGAAGTGAACTCTGAGGGTGATTACTTTCTTCTAGATTAAGGTAGCTGAGCATTTACACAGAAGACATTTTCTGGAGAATATTTGGAACCTTTTGGATTTGCAACCATAGCAGACCCACAGAAAAAAACCTAAGGACCTAAGTGATGGGGGACTTCAGGCTGTACCAAGCACATCTGTTTAAGGTCAAAACTAAGTGCTTCAGTTAAACAAAAAAACTGAAAGCCAAAACAACCAAAAACCCCAACCCCCCAAACAACCAAAAAAACCCCAACAAAACACTGTCTGTTCCCCTGAAGGAACCAACTTTACAATCCAGGGGGTTCAGCAAGTTGAACTAGAGCCTTAGCTCACAACTATCTTGCCTTATTTTCCAGTATCTTACTCCAAATACAAACAGAAGCATCTCCATTGCCACAAGCCAAAAGGCTGTCTTTTGCTATATAACATAAGCAGCCCCTTAGCTATGTCAGAATGCCACCCCATCCTGCATAATAAAGTGAAGTTTTTTTTATTTACCTTGTGTTCAACATTGTTCTGTTGTGCTTTGTCCAAATGGACTTTTATGAGCCTGCTGCCATCCAGTTTTACGCGGATTCTCTTGCCCACAATTTCACTTGGGAAGACCAGGTCTTCAAGAATGGCATCGTGCACTGCAGTAAGCGTACGGCTGAAATGCCACATTTGTATCATTAAAATACGTCCTCTTGCCAAATTTTCCAGTTTGTCAAGGCTTAAACCTTCCACAGTATACTTTAGCTGAAAATTCAGTGGTGTTTTTTTTTGGTTTTTTTTTTTTTTCCAATGCCGCAGTGTGACAATACACTTTTTCACAGGTCGTACAAAGTAAAAGCTAAATTCTACACTGAGTGCAGAAACTTAATGACTGCACGAGGGGAAAAAGTCAGTAGCTGGGTTTCTGACCTTTTAGACCACATGTCATTCTGCAGCAACAGCCCCGAAACTTTCATTTCTACACATCTGAGGAAGATTTTATTTAAATCAGAACCAAACTGTCCCATCTGCAATTTTGCCAGAGACACTCACTGGAAGAGTTTAAGAGTGCAAGTATCTTCAACTACACAGAGCATGTTCATAGGAGACCTAGTTTTGAGAACGCTAGTTTCTTCATCTGCCTAAATGCAAGTGGCATAGAACACCAATGTATTACAGGAAAAGTCTAGCTGGTACGTTTAGGCCATGCTTAGAAGACTGTTTGATTTCTACATTTGTGTTTTTGAACTGTCCAGAAGTAAGCCAAAATGAGAAAAATTATCTCAGGTTATTTTGTGTATGAAGCTAAATGTCTAGTAAGATTTCCAATTCCCAATCTGCAGTTTCAAGTATCACTAGTAACTAAGACCTGCGTCTACAGCAGCATTTCAAACTTGCAAAGATTGGGGTAGCTAAGGGAGACAAAAATCAGTCACATTTCTGTGCTTCACAATACACGTATCAGTTTCACAACACTATTAGCCTGATCTAGTCTCAGGCTGAGAATGGGACAATCTCCTTCCACGCTCTCCCTCCCTCGTGCTGGAAGTGGCAGCATGCTACTCACATACACAGACGCCAACTTCTCCACTCACTGTGCAATACTAGTTTTAATGTAACACAGAGAAAGTCCTCCAAAGGCAGGGCTGCAGCTAGATAAGTACTTGAAACCGCACTTTTAAAATCCATGCCTAAGGATTTCAAGATACAGTAATAGATATGACACAGGTGTAACACTGGGACTGGGAGAAGTTACAGAAACATGCCACGTTATGAAGAGGACAAACTTACAAGACATAGACTACATGATACAGTAAGATAGAGAATAGTATAGAAGAGGCACTGACTTACAAGACATAGACTACATGATACAGTAAGATAAGAGAATAGTATAGAAGAGGCACTGATATCCACATAGGCATAGTAGTGTTGCATGTCTAGCAATAAAGACACTAGATGAGAGCAGGGAGGCTGTTCAACACAAATTACTACACTACTGCTGTTAAATTCATACCCGGAGGGACTACTCATACTACACCCCTCCTCAGCCACTCTCTCCCTCAATGCATCCCTTCAGTGTGCCAGCCCTGCCTTCTATGCAGTCTAACATGTGACATGGCTCTTGCTACAGCTTAAAAATATAATTCTTCTCAGCACACTGTGGTAACAGAGACAGCAGGTTGCGGTTTCTTAAGCTGGTATTGCTGGCTAAAAACTGGTTACAGCTGTAGCTGGAAATACAGATGGGAATTCTAAGAAATGCAACACCGTACCCAAAGACAAGCTTTTTACTGCACCCTTTAGCAGTCAAATGGCAGATACGATTTCAAGCACTATGTGAAAGGACAAGACCATCCCATCACTTGACTTGACTTCTCAAAAACTCAACTAAACATCACCTGACTAAACTACCAAGTTGCAAAAGAAGGCTGTCATATTGAATCATTATGATTTACTTACCTCCTGGGACGCTTTTGCTTGTTTTTTGTGCGGCTTTTTCTCGTTGGCTTGGGCAGAATCCTTCTCTGTTAAGGAAAAAAAAAAAAAGGCATTTCTCAGTATCTAGTGTTTACAATTAAAAAACAGAACACATGCACTTCCCCCCCACAGAAATAGATGAAACACCAAAGAGGGAGACTTAAGTATATCCAAAGCTACATGAGCAGTAGAACCCGATATTACTTGCAGCAGGTGAAGTACTGATACTGCTTTATTTCTCATCTACTGATTCAGTGCACTGAAATAAAATATTTGTATTTCATCTCCCCCATGAACACAACCAGGGTAATTTACTATGTCACATTAGCAATCTGAACACACTTCTTTGAGAACAGAAATCTCAAAAGAATTTTGTGATTTCTGTTAGATAGACCCTCCGGTGCAAAGCAGAGTAGTAAGCTATCTCAGTCCCACAAACAGCTAAGTGACATCTGAGATCAAAACACTAGTTTGAATGATGAGATCAAGATCAAACCCTGGCTTAAATGTAATCTGTTCCAAAAGCAGCATCTAAAGACATTTATACCATCTCGGATCAGTAAAACTTATTTTCTACTTCCCTATCTGCAAGGGTAGAAGTTTTAAAATACTGACTTTTAGACGCAGGGATAACCACCTGCAGTATTTTCCACCAACGCATCACAGCTTCTCCATGACTGTATTCACGATGGGGTTACTGTAATCCAATGACTGGGTTGCGTCACATTCAAAAGCAACAACACTTCACCTACAGCAGAAGAACTGCACATATTTCCTTCTAAAATATGGATTACTGAATTGACAGGGAGCTCACAAGCACTTAAGTGAGCCAGAAGCACTACAATAGAATAAGTCTTCTTGGCCACGTAAAGATTCAGGGTAAGGTGCTCCAGTTCTTAAAATTGTGTTACGGAGAATTTTTGCTAGAAAGAGCTTTAGTCTAAAAGCTAACTGTCCACTCCACAGACAGATCTCCAGAGTTTGTCCACCCCTTAATACTGCCAAGAGAGTCCTCTATCACCTTTTCATGACTTATCTCCTTCCATAAATTCAGAACTTGAGTCATTTTTTTTCTTCCCCTCCTATTAACTCAAATTTTAAGTGCTTCAATTATCTAAGTGTAGTAAAGCTTCTATTAATATTTGCTCCCTTTTACTTTCAAGCTTTGCTTCTCAACTTCTGAAGGAGTAAGAGAGGCCAGAACAAGAAAGTTGTATCCTCCTCCAAAAAGCTTCACATCTCACCAACTCCACACAGCCTTGGCTGCTAGCTGAAATCATTTTAGCTTACACCCACAGAAGGGCATTCATTACATTTCCTGCTAGTACAAAAATACACATTATATCATTGTTACCTCAAACGGACAAGACAAGGGTAGTGCAGCACTGGAATAGCTTATCCAGAAAGGCTGTGGAATCTCCACGCTTGCATGTTTTCAGGACTCAGCTAGACAAAACCTCATCTAATGTTGGCAACAGTGCCGCTTCATCCATGAGGCTGGAATAGATGACCTCCAGGGATCCCTTCAAATAAACATCTTTATGATTCCAAGTGTTTTACCTGAGCAATGAACACCACATGCTTTCCACTGAATTTCTTCTCCAGCTCACGAACTAGCCGCACCTGAATCTTCTGGAAGGATTTCAGCTGAGGAACTGGTACGAAGATAATGATGGCTTTTCTGCCACCACCCACTTCAATTTCCTGAAACAGAAGTAGAAAGTAAACATTATCTAGGGGTCGAGAAGCAATGTTTGGTTTCATCATGAACCCTCTGAATACAGTTATTTTATAGTCTTGCTTACAACTCTGAAGAAAAAAAGAAAAACCACACATCAGAGAGCAGTACCTGTTTTAATGCATTTAAGAGCAAGCACTAAACAGAAAAAACTGTCAGAGCACTTGCTTAGCCGTAAAGGAGTGATTGAGCAATAAATCCCACCCCTCCTTTCAGAGTCACATCCTCTGAATAGCAAAGCTCATTCTTTCTGCAGGATAGGACTCAGATACTAGAATCCTAACTACACATCACATCTGCAGCGGTACTTACATGCTGATACAAAGTTACAATAATTATTTGCCTCTAATGCAGACTCTAAACAAAGTTTACAGTAATAAATCTCTTATTTTTGAGCTACTACTTCATGGAAATCATCTTACGTCCAGCACATGCCAAGGCCTGCATCAACATTCAAACAAAACATTTCCTGCCCCTCCGAACGCCAGGTTTACATCACACCAACATGGATTACTTTTCCCCTGGTTTGTTTCTCCAATAGTTATCAAAACTGATAAAGTTTGTATAGGCTTACAAGGTGCTTCTCCC